GACCCTGTCTCAAAAAGACCAAAAACAAACAAACAAACGAACAGAAAAACTCTTCAAAGGCCTAGGCAGCTGCACCTTCCTAACTGTTGCTCTGATGCAAAGGATACGTTCCAGCCCCAGGACCTTTGCACCTGTAGTTCTCTCTGCCTGGAATCCACTTCCCCCAAAGGACTGCTTGGTTCAGTCTCTCATCTCTTTCAGGTCCTTGTTCAGGAGTCATCTCCCTGGTGATGCCGTTCCTGACTAAGCACTTGTCAGGGTGGCCTCTGGCTCTCAACTTGGCACATCTAGGGAGAGGGAATGTTAATTGGGGGAATTTCTTCTATCAGATTTTCCTCTGGGAACGTCTGAGGCATTTTCTTGACTTGAGTGATGCAGGAGGGCCCAGCCCATTGTGGATGGTGCTACACCTCTGGGCAGGTGGTCCTGAATTATGTAAGAAAGTAGAATAGGCACAGGCCAGAGGAGCAAGCCAGTAAGCAGTGTTCCTCTGTAGACTATGTTTCAGCTCCTGCCTCCAGGTTCCTGCCCTGCTCAAATTCTTGTCTTGGTCTCCATCAATGATGAACTGTGATCAGGACTTGTAACCCAAATAAACCCTTTGTTCCCCAAGTTGATCTTGGTCAGGGTGTTTTATCATAGCAATAGAGAAGCTGTCTAGGACAGCATGCAAACTAAAGTGGCAACAGCCTCTCCCAGGCTCCTCACCCTCTCTGCTCTTTCCTCATAGCCCTCGGTACGTCCAACAAGCACGTATTTTATATATTTGTTCCATCTGTACCATTCCCACCAGAACCTGCTCTGTGAGAGCAGGTCTTGCCGTAACCCCAGCATGTAGGCACTTGGTAACTACTTATGGGATGGACGGATGGATGGATGGATGGATGGACGGATGGATGGAGAGAACTGGCTTTACCATCTTCCCCCACTTCAGCATTCTCTTCATGTGTTAAGTACCCAGCACATTCAAGGATACAGTAAGCCACTGACCCTTCCCTATCTTTGGCTGTCTAGAGGGTTGGCCTAGATCAGGAGTCCATTCTGAAAACCTTCAGTAAGCCCAAAGGACACAGTTCACGACAGCACTGCCTAGAGTCACATTTGCTTAATTACAAAGCCTGCATTTCCTTTAGAATTTTCCACAGTAAGGCCCTGAAGTCCCCATGCCCCTTGGAACGAATGAGGTTTGGCTGCCACGGGGCTACCTGCTTCGTAACCTGCACACCAGGTTAGCATTCACCTGAGTACTGGATCACAGGGCTTGTAAAAGCAGCCTGGCTTGGGTTACAGGGAAGCACTGCAAACCACACTGAGCTTGTTCCCTCGATCAGGAATACCGCCTCTCCTTGTCCCCCTCAATTTAACTCTAATTCCTTAGCAGCCCATACTGTTGGTTTTGGGGGTTAGCCGGAGGCCCTCAGGAGAAATAACAAAATTGGGTGCTCCAGGCCAAAAGGAAGGCTCAGGGAAGAAAGAGGGCTTGGTACAGACTAAGAGCACAGGCCTGCAGCAGGGGGCGGTCAGCCATACTTCAAGGTCATTCCTGCCCACAGCCCTCTAGCCTGTCTGACTTTGCAGGGCCTCAAAACCTCCATTTCTCCATCTGAAATGGGCTCACTGAGCTCTAACAGTCCACAGTGTCTTCCACATACTACCTGGCCAGGGTCACAGTCCCTAGAGGTGTTACCCAAGGCCACGGCTGACATTCCTTTAGTGCTCTGATGTGTCAGTCACTTGTGGGAACATCAAGTTACTAACAGATATATCATGTGGTCCCTCTCAAAGGATAGGGGAAGTTCTAATCACAGAATCAATATATATTTTCCTGGGAGCCCCCAATTTTCCATTTCCTTTCACTTTCCTTTCTTTTTCTATTTTGAGATACGGTCTCCCTAAGTTATTCAGGCTGGCCTTGAACTCAATCCAGGCAGGACTTGAACTTGCAATTCTTCTGCCTCGGTCTCCCAAGTAGCTACGATTATAGGTCTGCATCACCAGGCCCAGCTTTTTCACCTTCTAAACAGGCCCTACGTTCTTCAGAGTCTAACAGGTGGCTGAATTAATGTTAACTAAGTCTTTCACCTGGTGAATGAAGAGGGACACAGCAGGCAAGTCACACAGAAAGGATGTCAGACCCAGTAGATATCTTGGCCCTCCTACATGCTTTCAACTGAGCATTTGTCTAACCCCTCTACCTGGGCTTCCACAGTGAAAAGCTAGAATATTACAAGTACCTCCCTCACGTGAGTTTCAGTCCCTAAGTACATGTAATGGAGAGCCTAAGCTGATCAGAGAGAGACAGCATGCATGACACTTTTCCCAACCCCTCCCTGCGCAGGCATCAATAATCAATCTCCACATTCTTCCTCTACTGACTGCAGTTGTAAGCTGGTGATACTTAATGCACAACCACTACCACTAGCACTGTGGGAAAACTGGTGCATGTGTGCTCTGGCTACAGTGACCCAGTTGTATGGTCTGGAGTGGGAGCGGTTAATATATCAGAAGGTGAAGATAAGGACCCCATCCCCACTGGGTGGATGTAGCTTTGCCTCTCTGTTATCTGCTGTGGACTTGCACTTTGAGCAGTGCCTGGCATGTAGAGGCCACTCAAGTCGGTTGGATAAATCAGCACCCAATCCATCCAAGTACACAGCACACAGCGCTGGGCCTAGTATGGCCAAGTTCAAGACAGGCATGGAAGGAGGTGGGAGCAGTGGGCTAGACCCTCATTTGAGCATAGAGCTACGCAGGGAAGAAAGTACCAGCTGTGACAAGATCCAGTTCTGATGCAGCCTCTCGCTGTCCTGATGAATGTGAACTGGGTGGTTCCTTCCCAAGGCCTTAGTGCTCCACATGAACAATTAGAGTGTAGATTAGACAAACTCCCCCTTCCAGCCCTGAACTTCTGATCCAAGAGCATTTCCAAGAGCTACCACTGGCCTGTAGGCCACAGCCTCACATACTACCAATACACGAAGCCCACGCCCTGGTTCCAGGAAAAGTTGTACTCTGGGCACTGTTGGCCAGGAGCATTACCACTGATGTGCACAAGCTAAGCCTGGTCAACAGCCTGATCTGAGCTCTTGGGATGTTTAGCTTTGTCACCTTGATACAACCCAGAATCACTTGGGAAAAAAAGTCTCAAATGAGGGACAGTCTACATTGGGTTGGCCTGTAGGCATGTCTGTGGGGGACTGTCTTAATTAAGTTAACTGATGTGGGAAGACCCAGCCCACTGTGGGTGGCACAGTTCCCTAGGCAAGGGGTCCTAAACTGTGTAAGAGAGGAGAATCAAGCTGAGTGCAAGCATGCATGCAAACACGAATTTCTCTCTGCTTGTGACTACAGATGTGGTATGACCAGCTGCTTCCAGTTCCTGCTGCTTTGATGTCCCTATAATAATGGGCTGTGACATGGCATCATGGGCTAATATAAACCTTTTCTCCCCTAAGCTGCTTTTTCTCAGGATATTTTATCACAAGAACAGAAATGAAACTACACAGCTCCCCTCCATTCCAGCCCACACTCTCTGTTCCTGTATCACCTCACTTCTCCCCTCTCTTACACCACACTCCTCCCATCAACATTTACTGCGTTTCCTTGTGGCCCTGGCCCACAGCTATTAAGATGGGCCCAGGCCCTTCCCTGTGGAGCTAGGGCTCAGAGAAACAGATGCACAAGAGTACATGAAATAACTTGTGTGAAAACAGGCCATGAGCCACGGGCCACCTTGAATAAGGAGTCAGAGAAAGCTCTTCAGGGGGCCTGAAAGACCAAGGCCACTAACCATGGGGGGGGGGCAAAGAAAAGCTCATTCTAAGTAAAGGCCAAGAGGCAACTCAGGGTGGGAAACCCAGAGCCCCTTCAGTGTGTATTAACGCATCAAGGATGGGTGCTTTCACGTTACAACGCTGATGAGAAACTGTCATAGAAGGCCACAGGACCTGCAAAGTGTGAAGCATCATCCCAGTCCTTACTAGGTCACATGGGTTGCAAGGACATCTCTGTTCTGGGTTAGTGACCTCCGATTTACCCCTCAAAAGGCTCTCAAACACAAAGCCAAACACAGGGCCCTTCTGCTCAAAGAACCCACTCTCTAACTATTCTCAAAGTGTGTTCCGAGGAATACACACTCAATGGGTAAATCTCAATGAAAGGGTTCCACAGTTCATTAGGTTTGAAAAACATGGCACCATCATCCTTTCTCCCCACTCTTCCTCACGCAAGCCTGTACACTTAGTACATCAAAGAGCAAAACATCCCACAGCAAAGAAAAGTGCTTGATTTTGTTTAATCCATATTCTCCAACCGGCCACAAAGAACCTTCTTTAACCCTCCCACAGAATTTATTATCAACAGCTTAAAGAGCTGGTGTTTGGGGGCTGAAGCGCAAACACCTCTGAGCGGCACCTGAAATGTGAATCTGCAGTCTAGCAGGTGAGCCCATACTGTATGTATGTCCTTTGCTTTCTTCTGCCTCCAAGGCCTCAAATGAAGGTCACATGGTCACTCCAGCTCTACCCAAGGCACAGTGGCAGCGCTAAATCCACCAAGTGCTGACTGTGGAGACGGCACAGCCTGGGCTCGTTGGTATATCTTTCTCTCTTCTCTGGCCACACTAGCCCAGTTCACCTCTGGCCTCCTCCTCCCATCTCCTGCTGACTCCAAGGGTGAGATTGGTCTGGTGCATGGAATATTCCACTGCTTTGAAGCGACTGGTTCGGGAAAGGAGCACAAGGCCCAACCAAGGGGCCTGAGGAAGGCCACAAAGTTGGGGCTGGCACCCTGAAGTTCCCTCTGCAGCTACTGGGCTCCAAGTTTATATTTCATCCCTAAGCTCACTCCAACTTGGGCATCCATTGGCTAAGTTCTCAAATGAGTCAGCATCCGCAGAGGACACACGGGAAATGCTGCCCCGCAGCTCACAACTTTGAGGATGTGTCAGTCTTCTTGCCCTTTCAGTGACAAAGGCCAAGGCAGGGAAGGGCGGGACGTACCTGCTAGCCGTGCTTTTCCGTCCAGCTGCACTGGCTCCGTCAGCCTGCAAAAGAAACCCAGAACACCTCCATCAGCCAAGGCAGAAGAAAGAGATTCTACCCATCCTGGCTTCAGATGGGTGTGCAGACCACAAGCCACTGCTCCATCCCTCCAGACTGGAAAACCTGCCCCCCAGTGCCAAGAGGGAGTCAGGACACCTGCCCCACCCACACTTGCTTGGCTCTTTAAATCCAGTGGAGCACCCACTGCCAACACAAACTCAGCAACCACAGGCCCTGGGGACCCAGTGAAAAGTAAGTAACTAGTTAAATCTGAGATTGAATTGTACTGCTTTTATTTTCAGCTGGGATTTCCAATAAAACAGTAGCTGCAGATTTATTCCTACTAACCGGAGGGGAAAAATCCTATTATGTTAAAATATTCTGTCCCCCAACCCTATGAGCAGGGGAAGGCGAGAAAGGGCCAGCCCTTAATCTTTTTATTTAGGGGTGAGGGGGATGGGGGAGATAAAGCTGACCAAATGAAATTTTCAGAATCATAAAATTCTGGTTCAGATTGAGACGAAGGCCTTGGGAGCTGCTTAGAGTCTTAAGAGGACCAACTGGAAATGACCTGGGGTCATGACTCTTAGGCCAGGGCTCAAGAGGGCCTTGATGCAGGAGCCAAAGGAGGTCAAAGGCATGGGAACAGTGCCCAGACTTTCCTTCACCACTGGCTGGCAGGCAATATCCTCTGTGGCTCTCTCAAAGTGCTTATAACCATAGAGTCCTAGAATAATTGGTCCAAAGTTCAAGAGTGCATGCTCCCAAATTCAGACTCTGGCCAGCTGAGGGAAGCCCTACTGAATGTGTCCTATATTTTCAAACACTCCTGGCAGGGTCTGTGGAGCTCCCGGTAACCCAGCAGCACCCTGCTACTTCTGTGACAAAATATTCATGCTGCCGCCCTGCATGGATTCCTAAGTGATAGCCAAATGCCACTCAGCCTTCTCAGTCCTCAGTCAAGTTCTGCTACTCCAAAGTTACAATCTCTGTTTCCAAGCTTTCCAAATGGCAGGCTGTGGGTGAAGGGCTGAGGGTCCAAAGTGAAAACAGCAGCGGGCTTTTGATGTGTGCTTATGAGAAGCTGCAAACTGGCAAAAGCTCATGGCTGACTTTGATTTGAACAAACTGCCAAGATATCAAAATAAAGGGATTCATCCTGCAAAGGCCAGATTTCCAGCTTCTTTAAAACTAAACCAATCCATTGGATGATCTAGTAGTGACACTCAGCCCTAGAGAGTAACAGGAAGCTAGTAGTGACATTTCTGCTTCTCCACAGTACCCACCCCTCCCTCTTGCCTCATATCCAGCACCTGCTTGGTCCCTGCGACTGTCCCCACTGGCTCCCCTTGTCTAACTTCGCAGCATATGACATACATGTCTCTTCTCATTTAATGTTCTCTTCAGGTTCCCACTCCATAGGTTAGGACACAAAGGGCCCAAAGACTTTGTGTATCTAAAGTTCCATAGCTGTAAGCCCAGAACAGGGTCACTCCAAAAGCCACCTTCTCAACCTTGGAATCCTTTGTCCTCTGCTAACATTTGGGAGAGCAAAATGTTATCATGAAGCCCCCATTTTCCACACAAGGTAATGGAAAAGTTGAGGATGTACAGGAAGGGCACCATGTATGTTATGGGGGGAATGACCCTGTGTGATTTCAGGAGAGACAAAGGTAGAAAGTGGCTGTCATTTCACAGGAGCTAAGGAAAAGGGTCAGTGATGGTCTCTTTCCCACACCTTGCATTTCCCAAACTTAGATGCAAAGCTGCTTTCACGTCCAGATCCTTCAAGGCAGAAGATGTTGGGGCAGGGCTTCCACCCTGGTGAGATTTATGAAATTGTAAAATTCCAAATCTCTCGCCTTTCAGACTGGACTCTGGGTGTTTTAAACACACCTCGAATGCTGTCTCCCCTGCTTCTATCACATTAAAAATTTTTTATTTATGTGTATGTGTGTGTTTGCATATATGTATGAGCACATGGGAACAGGTATCCTTAGATGTCAGAAGAGGAACATTGACTCTCCTAGAGCTGTAGTTACAGGCAATTGTGAGCTGCCCAATGTGGGTGCTGGGAACCAAATCCCAGTCCTCGGCAAGGCCGAAGAGCTCTCAAGTGCTCAGCCATCTCTCCAGCCTCTTTCCTTCACAATTTTACACCAGGTTGGCCAAGACCAACACAGTGAACGTGTGGCAGGTCAAGAGGACAGATGCTCTTTTTGGGGAGCACCTGACAGTTGCCACCTGCTTCTCTGCCACTGAGCTGATGTCATCGTCTTCGTACTTGCCGCTCGTCACCCTTACTTGTAAAAGTGAGTGAGGAAGACAAAACTACCCCATCACTCAAATAGTTGTTGAAATAAATCCTTTTGCAGAGACCAAAGGACGGCACTGGGATACTAGGGTGGCTGGAGGAAGGAGTACCTGCCTAGAGAACTTCCCAGCAGTGGTCATATGGGCTAGCCTCGATGGGATGGAGGATCGATGGGCAATGACATGGTGGGATGCTCCAAGACAGCATAGCACTATCACAACAGCACGTAACAAGCACAGTCTTTGCAACTGGTGTGAGACAAACAAGATAAATAAGGTGACATGTAGAAATATTTAGCGTGGGTGTTGCAGTAATAACAACCATCAACAGCCCAGAGGTAGTCACTGAGGCCACCATTTATTGGATCTAGAAAATAGAATGCCCTAGACAAGCTCACATAGCAGGCAAACAAAGAGCCAGCCTAGACTGCCCAGAACCCTTTGTTCCTAGTTGTCATCTCAACAGGATCTACCAGACCACCACAGCCCCAAGGCTGTCTCCAGTGGGCCAGGTGGGTAGGACGACAACAATGAGGATGTAGCACCAAGCCCAGGGAGGGCCCAAGCAGTGACAGCTCAGGTGATGTGATCCACCACTGCTGTTACAAGCCATCCTCTGCCAAGAGACCACATGCTCCTAAAGGATGTAGCTTCTAGCCCTGGTTCTGTCTGGGTAGAACTTTGAATGCTGGGCAAGCTTCCCCTCCACCTGAAGCTCCCTACAGGTCAAGATGGGTTAGGGGGTACGACAGAGGGCTCAATCAGATCCCTCCCTTTCATCTGTCACTCTTTTTTTAAAACTTTTAAAAAAATTTATTATTTTTATTTTATGTGTTTGCGTGTATTGCCTGCATGTAGGTAAGCGCGCCCGTGTCGCGCAATGCCGTGGAGGTCAGAAGAGGCTGTTGGATCCCCTGGGACTGGAGTTACGGACAGTTGTTAGCTGCCATGTGGGTGCTGGGATTCAAACCCGGGTCTTCTACAAGAACAACCAGTGTTCTTAACCACTGAACCATCTCTCCAGCACCTCATCTCTATCACTCTTATGTTGAGTTGACCCAACCTCTATGACCAATGAGATACAGACAGAACAGGGGCCCATGGGAGACCCTCCTCATTCTTGCATGGGTAAAGAGATGGAGGTCTCCAGACCCCTCCCCAGTGCCCCACGCCCTTTCCTAGCTCCATTCATTCTTTCTCCCCAGCTTCTCCCCAGCACCTGGGCAAGGCTATTTTTGGTTTCTCCCCTCCCTCTTCTTCCCTCCCAAATGAATGTTAAGTTGTTCTTTTTCATTCTCTTATTAAGGGTTTTCTTGGAAAGAAAATATTATTCCAAACCCAGAAATTTTATTTCTGAATTTGTGCAAATGTAAGTTGTAAGGCATTTAGCTGCATTTCACATTTTGTGCAAATGGCAGAAACAGGCAATTCGTGTGCTACGGGATGGGGGCTGGCCAACGATTTCGATAAAATAAACCCTTTTTTAATTTAAATGCTAATGCACTGAATTAAAATTTAATAACTGAGGAAATTGAAAAGCCGAGCAGGAATATTGGAAATAAATCCAAGCAGAAACAGCTGAAATTAAAAATTCTAGAGAGTGGGAGGACAGCAGCTAAGCTGTCTTATATGATTACATTTTTTTTTTTTTTCAGAATGAAGCAAAAAAAAAAAAAATCCTATCTCTTGCTGGCTCTAGGGCAGTAAATCCACTGCGCTGTGATTTATTGCTCAATTTTCCTGAGGGAAAAAGGCTTTCTTTCATGCTGAAATATTTCATAAATTTCAAGCCAGCATAAATTCTTAATTTAAAAGTTATGGAGGTCACATTTAGTGCTCTGGTACAGTTCCAAAATCTTAAAGAAATAGCAGCAACCAAAAAAAATGTAAAAAGGAGGGGTAGAATTTGCTGGCTCTCTCTCTTCTTTTTTTTTCCATTTTGGTCTTAATTCACAAGTTGAAATTTCATTCTTAAAGATTCTTCCTGGATGGACAAAACCCAACCAAGCATGCGGGGAACTGGTGTGTGTTTGGAAATCGGCTGAAAAAGATAAAGAGATAAAGATTTAATTCAATTATAAAAAGGCATTTTTTAAGCCACTTGAGGAATTTCTGGTAAAAATTTCCTCCCTTCACTGCCCGGGAAGGGGTGAGGGTGGGGGAGGGCGGCCAATGTAATTGCTTCTCTTAGATCTCCAATCTTTTGTGCACAGTGATATATTCATTTGTTATACAGCTGTTCAGCAGCGGAAAGAATGCTGGGGCGCCCATAATTCTAAGCAAATCAATCAAAAATTAATGATTTGTCATGCTTGCACAATGGAGGGAAAACAGCTCCTTGGGTCCTGGCTGCCTGATCTCAAAGAATGAAATGCCTTTCTGAGATAAGAGAGCAGAGCCAGAGGCTGAGGTGGCACCGTAAACGTGGGCCCTCGTGATTCTCCAGCTCTGTCGGGGTGGAGGGGCCTCCATCTTGGAGTGGGCATGTCCAAGATGGCGCCAGGACAGGCCCCTATACATCGTATTTCCGTAGTGGTATAATTAGGATCTTAGCTTTACCCTCCCCCACGGCAACTTGAAAATCACTTCCTCTCTGGAGGATTGACTGGCTCCCCTCCCCCAACTAGATTTAATTTGTCCCTGCTCATTGTTTGCTGTTAACACACTACCATCAG